GTATCTCTCTCTCCCTCTCCCTTCCTCTCTAAAATCAATTAAGACACAATTTAAAAAAAAAAAAAAAAAAAAGGCGTGTTGACAGCAGCTCCATGCTGAGTTGTCCCAAACGGTGGAAACTGCTTGTGTCCATCAGCAGCAAATGGATCCATAAATGTTGTCGTATTCGCCCAGTGCAACACTAAAGGGCAATGAAAGGGAAAAACTACAACTGCGTGAAACAAAGTGGATAAATCGCATAAACATGTTTAATAAGAGAAGCCAGGCACCTAGGCGAGCACACGGCTGGTCCCACCTGCAGCACATGCCCACGGAGCCTGGCCAGGTGCTCAGCGGGTTGGAGCATCGTCCGATCCGCCGAGGGGGAGGGGTCCACCCCCAGTCGGTGCAGACAAGAATCCACTAATGAATGCATCAACGCGTGGAGCAACACATCGAAACCGATGTCTCTCTCTCTCCCCTCCTTCCTTTCTCTAAAATCAGTCAATAAAAAAATTTTTAAACGAAAATATAGCCGGGCCAGCATGGCTCAGTGGTTGAGCATCGACCTATGAGCCGCTCGTTGGGGTGGTTAATGAGGACCTAACCGACCAAGGGTTTTTCACGAGGGAATGTGCCCGGAGAACCAACACCCGGATGCGGATGCGGATGCGGATGCGGATGCGGATGCGGATGCGGATGGAGACAGAGCATCCGGAATCCCAGGCCTCCTTCTCATCCCCGTCACTTCCCTTTCCTCTCCCTCAACAAGGACAACCACTCTCCTGGCCAACGATGAGTTTGCCTATATTTTCATTTTAAAAATATATATATATTTACTGATCTCAGAGAGGAAGGGAGAGGGAGAGAGAAACATCACTGATGAGAGAGAACCTTTGGTCGGCTGCCTCCTGCACACCCCACACTGGGGATCCAGCCCACAACCCAGGGATGGGCCCTGACCCGGCATCAAACCATGACCTCCTGGTTCTTAGGTCGATGCTTAACCACTGAGCCACGCCGGCCGGGCTCATTTAACTTTAAACACACACACACACACACACACACACTCTCTCTCTCTCTCTCTCTCTGCTTTGGGGTCTGATCAGGCTGCTACCCGAGGCCAACACCCCGCAGCGGGAACTGTGACTTCATTCACTACTCACTCCCTCGGGCCTGAACACGGATCCGGGCTGGCAGGCGGCCGGCGCCCTGCGTCCTGGGGAGACGAAGGAGCCAGCCCACCGCCCACCGCCCTCCCAGCGCCCACAT